TGCGGGGCGGGAAAGTGTCACGGAGGACGCAGCGCCGGGCGCTCCGGCTCCGACCCGGAACCGAGCCCGCTTCCGCCTCGCGCCGGGAGGCTTGGCGAAGGGGACCGGAAGTCCCGCCCTCCCGTGGCTCGGGGCAGCACCTATGTGCTTATTCCCTGCGCTCCTCTCTTTCCAAGGATGGGTCCGCCCTGTGCAATCGCTGGACCAGGCGTCTGCCCTGCTCGCGCCCTGTGGAGAGCAGGATGGCTCAGACACTGGCCCTGCCCTCCAATCTAGGAGGAAGCTGACTATTTTTTAAAATATATATATATATATATATATATATATATATTGATTTCAGAGAGGAAGGGAGAGAGAGAGAAACATCAATGATGAGAATCATTGATTGCCTGCCTCCTGCACGCCCCACATCAGGGATCGAACCCTGACCTGGAGTCCTACCGTGATCTCCTGGTGCATAGGTCTATGCTCAACCACTGAGCCACGCTGGCCGGGCTGGAAGCTGACATTTAAACGGAGGTTAATCACACCACTAGGCAGTGCAAGTGTGATACAGACATCACAATACAAGGTGGTCTTGCTTCATTCCTTAATTTAAGTTTTTGTCACCTACTTATATTATCACTCATCTAACAACCAAAACAGAGGAGAGCCCCTAAGTTATGGAGTGAGGTAGGCGCTCAGGGCAGTGAACTAGGCACAGAATAAGTCCCAACAGCGGCCTGTCCCTCAGGAAACTTGGTGTAGTACACGGACAGATGCATGAATGAACAAACGGGGGCAATGGAAACATCAAGCATTAAAGGAACTGTGGCAGTGCTGTAGGGAACAGTGGGGTGTAGGGAACTGGGCAGAGAAAGACCCTCAAGGGATAGCTCTTCAGTGGAAACTAACACAATGAATGAGTTAAAGGTCACACAAGGTGGGGAGGGGCATGTAGAGGAGAAGGCTGCAGAGAGCAGAGCTTGGCCGGATCAGGGAGCTGGAGGGACATACACAGTTCATTTAGCAAGGCCTGAGGTCGTTAGAGGCAAGAGCAAGCACAGTGAGAGGAGGCAGGGCCAGATCAGAAAGACTGTTGAGCATTAGATCAAGAATTTGGACTCCAGACTCTATGCAGCAGAAAAGAGGAGGGGTGTTCTCTAGGGGAACAGTGAGTTATGGGTTGACTGACCTAGTCGTTAAAGAAAAATAAGAACTGGAAAGATCATGGATAGAACATTTTACCCTTGAGGGTGAATTCTCAAACCGCCATACCCATATATCTGCAAAAGCAATGGATGCCTGCTACAACCCTATAAAAGCAGGATCCACCAAGGCACAGACCCCTCAAGTTGCCAATTGGGCAAATCACCCCCAATCCACTGAGATGCCAGCTGAAGCCCCAGAGAACCATGAAATGGGCCAAGTTCATTGTCAGCTACAGTAATGAATATTGTTGGCTCTCTTGCTATTTCCTTGCTTGTTACTAGTGTTTAATAAATACCTTCTTGCACACCTAGCCCCCTTTTTTCCTTTTTAAAAAAGAAAAACATCATCAGCAGTTCTATCTGAAAAAATCTCTCTCCCCTTTGCACGTGCTGTGCTTTAGTCATTTGTGGCCAAATAAACTAGTCTATAGTTGGATAAATCACAACAGCATGTTCCCTGGAATATTAAGAGTTTGCTGGAAAATTACATTAAAGATTGTGAATTGAGTGACAATTAAGATCAACTAGTTGAGAAGTAACAATTCCCGCCTCTGCTGCAGAGTACTAATGGCCAGGAATCTTCTATGAGGCCCTCAATCTTCTGTGATTCCAAAATTCCCTTTAGACTAAAGTGAAAAATCACTCTGATTACATTTAGGGTGGTGTTTCCTTCCTAACAGGAGGGCTTCCCAGGAAATGTTTCAATGTAATTGAAGTATCTAAAAACAAAACTTTTGCTATGTTGATCTATTTTTCATTGTAGTCAGATATATAAAACATAAAATCGACCATTTTAGACATGTTTAAGTAAGTGCCTTTGGTGGCATTAAGTGTATTCATACTGTTGGGAACTTTATCATCTTCCAAACTGAAACTCCACACCCATTAAACAATAACTTCCTATTTCCCCCTTCCCTAAGTCTAATTTTATAGGTCTGTACATCCCATAAAAACATTGTCAACCCAGATTCAAACCCTCTGGAAGTAAACATATTTATAAATAGAACTAAAATAGGACCTTATTCACCTCTTTTCTCCTGTGGAACGCAGATGGAAACATGGTTTCCACAGGAACACATTGTTTCACAATCAAATATCTTGACTTGAGGCCTCTTTAAGGCCTACCCCAATGCGCATTCCATATGTAAACGAGAAACACAGCAGGGAAACTTGGCATGAGACTCACTAACTGGAAGTTTGGGTGCGTGAGTTCCCAAGGACTTGTCCACAAGTTAATAACTTAAAGCTCCAGTCCTTGTCTTTCTGCAAAAACAATGAGCATTCCATGTGTCTGACTGACGCAAAAGCCTCGCTTTGTTGGCGTCTCAGCAAAATCAAACTAAGCAGAAATGCTCCTGCCCCAGCTTCACCTGCTAAATTCCAACATGACTAGTAAAACAAGAGTTTTCCATTCAATAAAAATTTCACTCCATGGTTTGACAACTGAAATAGACACGCAGCTCTACTCCTAAATTGAAAAATCTCATCCTTAGGGAAGCAAGAGAATGAATTTGCAGCTCTGAGTCTCAAGGATACAAACTCCTGTCCTAAGAAGAAATGAACTAGCCCTAACCAGTTTGGCTCAGTGGATAGAGCGTCGGCCTGTGGACTCAAGGGTCCCAGGTTCGATTCCGGTCAAGGGCATGTACCTTGGTTGAAGGCACATACCCAGTAGGGAGTGTGCAGGAGGCAGGTGATCGATGTTTCTAACTCTCTATCCCTCTCCCTTCTTCTCTGTAAAAAATCAATAAAATATATTTTAAAAAAGAAGAAGAAGAAGAAATCAACTACAGGCTGGGAAGGTTGAGGCCAAACTTTTCCTGTAAAAACAATGTATACCTTAGAGAGGAATATGCCTTTTCTACATAAGATCCTGGTTAGTTGGTAAGAAGTCACTTTTTTATAGCATTCTCTTAAAAATTTTTTAAATCAAACAGTACAATGCAGGTTGGTTATAACTGCCTTGAATAGACATGACAGGATCAGAGAGAATTATTTCTGATTACTCTGTATTTTTTGTCTTGAGGTGGGCCTTCTCCACATTGCAAATGCCCATGGCCCGTAAAGATACCCTGCACATAGAATTGCCAGACAAA